TGGTGATGTAATCCTTGGTGTTCGTTGCTAACATCTGTGGAAGGCTGTGGCAGTGCCATCCACGAACGTCTCTAACATATCAGATCAGCATGTGAACTAGTAGTAGGCGATTGCTGGGAAAGTCTCTCTAGTTGGCAAATATTTTAATGATGCCTGCAGTAAAATTGGAGCCAGTTGGCCTTTCATCTACCCTCGATACCCCAAAGCTCTAATGAGAGATAAGCCCGTTATTTCTCTTGAGTTAAAACACAGAATACAAGAAGATATCTGCTAAATAAGGGGATCATTTTACATTGATGCTGAAAGGAAAAAGACATAAAGCCAGTCTGGGCCATAACCACGTTTTCAACCTTGCTGAAAATAGGTCAGTGCACATGGATGTAACAGCAACAAACAGAACAGTATGTACTGACTCTAAGATGTTGAATTTTTACCAAAATCTCAGAAGATTAATTTACCTACTTCAGAGGTTATGCAGCTGTTATTCAAGAAAAATTTGACTCCTTAAAAAAAGAGTAAGTACTGGCCATTTAAAACATTTACATAAAGCCAAAATGAAAGTTTTCTGACTGTGAATAGGCAGCATGGGACATTTGTAAAGAACCACATTATCTATTGTAAATGTCTGTCTGCAGATAAGGTCTCTTACTGGTACACTTGTTTCTGACAGCATGTTTAATCTGTAGAGGAACAAAGAAAATACCCCAACTTTATTTAAAGAATATTTATGTTTTATTGTTCAGAAATTATTTTTTTGCATTTTAAGGCATGAAAAGAACTGTCAAAAGAGTAATCTCTCTCTGATAAAAACAGAATAAACTCTGTGGAATCAGTGAGCAATTAGGGACAGGTATGTACAATCATTTCACCCTTCTATTTAGAGCACCCAAGAGAGAAAAGATCACTGCATCTAGTATAGTCACAAAGAAAGGCCCCAAAGTTCCATCCATACAATCACTTTTTAGCCCACAAGCTGAAAAACATGTGATTTAAATAGCTTTACACAACAAAGATGATAAAAGAGATTTCTGATTACTTTCTGAGACTTGAAAGATGTCACCATCTTTTTGCAAATTTGAAATACATACTGATGTTTGTACTATATATGTATATGCAGATGCAATATATATTTCCCTGTATTAGTAACCAAGTCTGACAGAAGCCATATAAACATCATTTGCTGGATGATCTAGCATGAAGATCTTTCTGTTTTCTGCTCAAGTATCTGTGTAATGAAGATGCATTCACTGTCACCGTGATCATCACTTTCTGAGACACACACAAACAACAACAAAGAGCGCAGAGTCAGTGTGAATCTGAAAGGAAAAATATAATCCTCATATATTCCTAAGTAATATTATTTCCCTGAGGATGGATTTAATTCCTGACTGTTCATAGTTCAGGATATGGGTCTTGGAGTTCACCTCTCTGGGTTCCAATCCAGCAGAGCATCTTACTAGTGTCAAGTTAGTTAAACAAGGAGGTCATTAGACTCAGGTGGTTCTAATACCTTAGTAGCCTATGTAAGCAAACGAAAACCTGTCTATAAATGTCTCACGGTTAAGAAATTAAAACCTAAGGGCGGCTAATCACAAACATCCAGTGAGCTTTCCCAAATAAGGCAACTACTTAAGTTATAGAAAATCAAATCAAGTTCTTGCTTTGGTTTGATATCTTCTCTATCAAAATCTTTCCTCTAGCTACAACCAGCAGAATATTCCTAACCACTTCCTGCCCCATTTGAGTTGATTTTTACTCAAATAACCTCTTAAAAATCTTAATATGTCTCAGTTTATCTTTTCACACACATTATATGTTCTAAGGCACTTGGCTTCATTTCTTTCTCTTAAAACTTGACAGAATACAAGAAACTAGTAATCAGGTTATTGAAACATGTAAATCTGGCTTTTAGTTTGAGTTCATGAAATGCTCGGTATTTTCATTACTAGTGTTAAATCCTTGACATCAAAGTTGAAATGCCTAATTATTTGATACGCAAGTTTCCTCATTCTGGTTTTAACAAAAAAAAAGGTTCTGTAAACAGGAGTCCTGGGTAAGAGTTGTTTAAAAGAAAAAATGTATGGTAATGAAATCACCATATCAAAGGTCAGTTATGATCATCAAATGCTGAATAAACAATTTACCAAATGTTTGGCATTTAATAAGACTTCTCAAGAGTATTATTTTCCAAACTTTCCACACAAAAGCCAGCTAAATACTTTTAAAAAAATATAGATTCAAGCCACTCCCCTAGAAAATCTGATCAGGTAGATTTTAGATAAGGCATCCAAATCTGAATTTGAAAAGAACCACAGATGATTCTTATTTGGGGGTGGGGATGGGGGTTTAAGACTGTTTGATAATATGTTACATAGCTCTATGTTTTTTGAAAAAATACATCAACAATAAAAGTATCATGTGTTTTTCAGGAATGCAATTATTTACATTTATATTTACATCAAAAATAAATTTAAGATTCTATTTGATGCTTTAGCTTTTCTCAGACCTCTTTCCTTCCATGATTGCAAAATCTATTAGCTTGAGTAATAAACACCAGAAGACCTGTTGTAGTCAGTGCAAGCAAATGGAGTAGTTAAATATTTGACTTTATGATATATGTTTCTCCATAATCACCCAAAATTATTATTTTTAGTGGAATGAATACCATTTTTAAAATTTAGTAGAATTACTAGAATTTAAAAAACATTGTATCTTTGACTTAGTCTTTAAGCCTTGCTAAACAAAGTTAGTTTTCTATGAAAAGAAAACATGACTAAACACAAAATTTTTAGCTTTCACAGCAGAGATATTTAAGACTAAATGACTTTATTTTTAAAGAAAACTAAGGGTGGTTTCAAATTATCCCATAGCTTTTAGTAATCAGTTGTTGATATATCTTAAACCTAAAGGCACTTTTTTCTATCTCTACCATTACTAAGGAATCTGAATAAATATTCAATATACATGTCATTATTTCAGGATATGTAACAAAAACTAAATTAAAAATATTTTCTGGAACACTGAAAATTTAGAAAAAAAGGCATGGGGACTTTTTCCACCAAATGCCAAAACATATTGCATAAGTATGGCAATTAAAACTGTGTGGTAGAGACACTATGAAACAGATAGAGAATCAAAAATATGAAAAAATTGGTCTTGTACATCATTAGAAGTGATGGAGAAGTCAACCAATGGACAATAATGCAGTCATCTCTGGTAGGAAACAAATCACTACCCCATTTATTCTCCAAAATGAATTTTGATAAGATCAAGGTTTTATGTATAAAAAATATATAAATTTATAAAATTCTAAGAGGAAAACAAACATCATTCAAACCATTAGGCAAAATGCAAAAAATAAAAAATTCTTTAAAAATTCAAATGCATACAAATTCTGCATAACATTTAAAAACTAGGACATCAACACAGTAGAGAATGTTTGCAAATTATGTTATAATGTTTTGATGGACATCCTACGGCTAATTAATGAGAACATTATCAATAATTCAACTGAAAAATGGGCAAAAGACCAGGACATTTCTTAGTAAAAGAAAAGCAAATGTCTTTCAAATGCATGAAACGACACTTACCTTCACTCCTAAGAACAGTAAATTTAAACTGATAAAATATTCCATTTTTACCTATTGAGTTGAAGAGAGAAAAAGGTCTCACAATATACTTTGTTGGCAAATGTATGAAGAATAGGCACACTGACTGTAAATTGTTACAACCTTTAAAGCATTCAATTTTGCCATATTCATCTAATTGAAATTGTACACTCATTCTAGGATTCCATTTCTCAGAATTTATTTTATAGATTTTCTCTGCCATGAGCTCAATATATACAAAGACATTCATTGCAGCATTGTTTTTAATAGGTAAAAAGTGTAAACAAGCTAAAATATCCTTCAAAAGGGAGCAGTTTTAAAAAGTTAGTCCCTCCATATAATGGAATACTATGCAACTCTTAAGAATGACCAGTCTCCTTTCTAAAATGATCCTATGTCATGATCTCCATTACATATTCAGATTATATACACATATATTTATATACACACATGCATACATACATATATATACATATACATGTGTATATATATATTTAAATGCACATATACATACACACTAACATTCATATTTATAGAATAGTTCTCTAAAGACATAAAAAAGTCAAGAACAATTCTACCTACCTCAGCCAGGTGACCAATGTCATATCAGCAGCGATAAGTCATGTGATAAACACATACCATTGGTATGATGGGACTTTACCTCTTGGTTTTATTCCTAAAAACCAATGATCCTAATATAATCATGAAAAAAAGACATCAAACACATCCAAATTGAGTGCATTCTACAAAATACCTAAGCAGTACTTCTCAAAACTGTCAAGATTATCAAAAAAGAGGAAAGCCTGAGTAATGGTGGCAGCCAAGCAGAGCCTAGAGACAGTTGGCTAAATGTTATGTGGCATCCTGAATGGAATCTTGCAAAAGAAAAAGGACAATAGGTAAAACTAAGGAAAGCTGAATAAAGCATGAACTTTACTGAGTAACAACATGTCAACATCGATTTGTTATGACAAAGCACTATACAAATTTAAGATGTTAATAATAGGAGAGTATGAATGTGGAATCTGTAGGAACTCTCTGTATTTTACAACTTTTTGTAAATCTAAAAGTATTCTAAAACTAAAGTTCATTAAAGAAACCCAGTTATCTGTGGTGTGACGATTAATTTTATGTCTTAACTTGGCTAGGCTATGGTGCCCCTGTTTTTTGGTCAAACACCAGTCTCGATGTCGCTGGGAAGATGTTTTTTAATGTGATTAACATTGAAAGCAGTAGACTGAGTAAAGCAGATTACCCTCCATACAAGTCAGCCTCATCCATCCAACTGAGGCCTTAGGGAAAAATCTGAGGTCCTCTGAAGAAGAAGAAATTCTGCCTTCAGATCATCTTTAACTCGAGATTGCAACATTAACTCTCCCCAGAATTTCAGCGTGCTGGCCTGCCCTGCAGACTTACCAGACCCTACTATTGTGTGACTCCGTTTCTTAAAATCACTCTCTCTCTCTCTCTGTTTCATATTGTTCTGTTTCTTCGGAGAATCATGTGGGTAGGCGAATACTGTAGCTGGGAAAAAGAACAGATAGGGTGAGAAACTTTTTTTAAATGTATTTTTATTTATTTACTTTCTTTCTAATAACCACTTGTACCAACTATTCAAAAGTAAACTAAAGAGAAAAAAAGAAAGAAATTGAGACGTCATGTGAGGTTAGTTGTCTGATATTTAAAATTAACTTCAAAATTATCTAATTCGATTCTCACAATAATTCTTTTTAGGTTACAGAGTTAATTTTATTATTTACATTTGACCTGATTAAAAAATGGAGGTGAAGCCCAAAGTCTCCTTGGGAGAAAGCAGCAGAAGCAGGTGTCTGCTTCCCAGTACGGTGGTAGTTACAGTAGGCTCCCAGTGAGCCCTGGGGCAGATAGTAAAGAAAGAATATCTGCTTTGATTTCAGAAGTCTGTAGGTCTGAAGGAAAGCCAAGAGAGTGGCAGAGAAATGGTGAAGGAGAAATCAGAGGCATTTAATCAGAAGCTGTGTGATTGACTATTAATTCCTTCTTATAAGGATAAGGCCACTGTAATACCTCAGCTTAATTTTTCAGGTATCTTATCAACATGTCAGGGGCACCAGTGTAATCCTTGTCCCTCAGGAGACTATTTCACTCAAGAATTTAGGAGTGCAAAGGAAAAGAGCTTGAAACTGCAGGAACAAAGTGGAATGCCAAGATCAGACCCTCAAATGTTCATAGTCCTGCAAGTAAGTATTTTCAAAGTCTTCATAGTGGGCACCAATTTAAAAACTGTGGCATTTCAAATACGTACGTTGATTTAGAGGTCAAGGGGACTTATGGGAGTTTCTAAGGAGCTGGTCCAACAAATAAGACAGACTCTGAATCATCTTCGCATACTTTGAAGACGTTGAAGCCATTGAATGGAGGTCTTAGGGAACTTAAACATGATAATGATTTAGAAATAATATTCACCATATTGTTTCTTCCTTCCAAAGTACATGCGACAATTCAAATCCAAGGTAAAATAAATATACTAGTAACCTATTCCTTATTCTCAAAGACTATTGGAGTAAGAGTAAGAACTAGTTATTAATTTAAAATCCTCTGCCTGTTATTCTATTCAACTAAAAAATTGGTCATCTTGGACAGAGAAAGTTTATTATGAAGTTAAAAAAATTTAAGCCTCAGGAACTCTCATTTGTATGGTCTTCAGAAGAGAGACATAACTGTGTAAATATATTCTTATTTTTGAAATTTTGTAAAGATAATACTTCTTAAATTATTTTTTTCTTAAAAAGAACCCATAAAATTATATAAGCTTTAAGCTCCATAAAACCAACATGCATCCCTCAAGTTGGAGAAGATTATCCATGATTTTTTAGAGCTCCTTAATATTCCAACACGAGCAAGGGAGGCCCCAGGCCATGGATTGTTCAAAACCAAGTTGACCTGCATAATAAAATCTGAGAATTGTGTTTCCTGGGAAGTCTAAGATAAGATAATCTGGCAAATGAGGAAGGGTAAAGTATTGAGAGAGAGAAAAGGCAAGTCAAACGGTAATGTGTAATCCCTCAAATACCTCAAATCTTGAGTAAAGTCTGCAAAAACCTAAGACGCCTTGAGTAGGGAGTTATTGCACTGAGACTTCATAGAAAGAGGGTTGATTTTACAAGGACAGAAGAGGATAGCTCATTGAGCATAAGATAAAAGAGATCAAGTATTTATTGATTGTCAGATATCTTTGCTGGAAATGTGAAGAACATTTCTTTGCAGAATGTGTGATCTAGAACTGAGTATTCAAAAACAAAATACAACATGCCCTTTGACTGAACCATGGGTCACGTGTAATCAATGAAAAGCAAAATGGAGTGTGACAGCTGATGCCAACACTCTTTATCCAGTAAAGAAACCTTAGACTCAGAAGTTCAGTGATTCAAGGTGAGTCCATATCCAAGCAGTGGGTAGATTCATGCCTCCACCTGGCTGGAAGAAGAAGAAGGAAGGGGATAGGGTGGTTCCTTTCTGTAGGCTCCTGTGAGCTCAGATAGGCAGTAACTTTGAAGGCACATTCAAAAGAGGCTGATACGTAGGTAGATGTAATCCCAGGTTCAAGAGCTGGAGAAAGTAACAGGAGTAAGACAAAGGAAAAGGTGGGAATGATTTGGAAATGCACTATCACAACCTCAGGAAGTTAAGAGAAAGGCAGTGTCAATATGGATCAGCTATCTCTTAAGTATCAGGCTGAATTTTGATGCTTTGTGAATGTTCGTATGCTTTTCCCTTTTTCTTCAGAGCAAAGCCATGAGATTAATGTGTCTCTTCTACACACAAGGAGGTGACACTTAAGGACACAATAAGTCGGTGATAGTCATGCAACTATTAAGTGGTAAAGACAGTGTTGAAGACAGAATCAATTACTACAAAAGCCAGGTCCCTTTTTCCCTGGCCTGCTGACACCAATGTGATATGACATAAGCCAATCCCAGCCCAGAGGCAAGAGAGCCACTTTCTTCCTGTAAACCTACTGGATTGGCTCAGCTACACACCCGTCAGCTACACAGCCCAGATAACAAGAGGACTCAGAACTTCTTTTTCAAGTTGCACATTAATTTCCAATTCACCATATCTTATTCTGTTAGGAGCAGAAGGAAGTATTGTGAATAAATGAAGAGCTCAGGTTACATATCTGTATTCCAGAAAAAAAGCTCTTTCAGGTATTTAGGAAAAAGGTGGTTGGCACTTGGCTGATCATAAAGTAACAATAATGATGGAAAAGAGAAATATGGGCATTTTCCATTACTATTTTTCTCTATGTATCTTTGGCTGATATGGCTACTCTCTATGTAATTGAATCAATTCAAGTAATAAATGAAGAATTAGAATATCTAACAGCAACTCAGTTTGAAGCACATTATTTGAACACCTGCTGTGTATATGGAATATACAAGGAGAACAGGATGCAATCCTTACCTGTGAGGTGCTATCATTACAGCTTTTGGTCAATAGTTGCATTTCAACATGAAACTGGAGGCAAAAAATAGCATGATTAAAAGCAATAATGCTGGAGGTTGAAATGAGATCTATTAAGTAAAATACTATTTATATTCTTTTTAAACTCCATGCTTTAAGATAACTTGAACTCATCCATCTTGGGAAATGTTTATGTTCCTGATAGGAAAAAAATTTTATAATCATTAGCTATTTCAAACCCAGGAAATGTATCCACTAATGATCAGGGCTAATGTAGTAAGTGCATTTTTACCCTGACAATCCAAGGGGATTAGTTTTTCTACTGTGTTCTGAGCTACTTTTATGTAAAGATTACTGTTTGAGTTAATTATTTAAGCATCTTTTCTCCTGCCTATTATGTCACGCATTGTGTTAGGCATAATATTGAACAGACAGCAGTGATCGAAAATAATATAAGAGCAAACACTGTTGTTGGCATGCCTTTGTCCCCTCAGCACTTACCCGTCAAATATTTGCCCACAGAAAAACCTGCTGTAAGAATTTGTGCAACTCTGTGTGATACTCTGCCGGTTCCCGTCCCCGCAGCCCGTTGAGCAGCAGCCCCGGAGTGCCAGGAGCCCCTCCCTTCCTCTCCAGCACCAGTCCTTGGAAATGCTAGATGAGTTTTCTCTCTGTGAGTAGCTGTGAGGCGTATTCGACACTGGTGCAGAGAGGTGGAGGTGTGTGTGCTTTATCAGCTCCTATCCTTCCCTATCTCATTTTATTGTTCCCCTACTGGTACTTCCCGGTCCCACTTTCAACTCAAACTCTTGACTCAGTGCCTACTTCTGGATGAAACTAACCTAAAATAAATTCATAATCTCAATGCGTATCCTCAAGGAGTTTACAGTGGACTGAGGGAGGTGGTTGTAAAGGAAGAAAAGACAAAAAGTATGCAGGTCAGTTCAAAGGCAATCTCCAGGCAAAGCTGATGGTAGTAGAGAGGAAGGTGGTAGCTCTAAAAGGAGAAATGTGTGGATTTGAGAAATCTTGACAGTTGGAATCAGGAGGAATTGATCAGATTAGAGCAGAACTGTGCTCTTTTGAGCAGCATAAAATAGATTTGCATGGAAATATATTGTCTACTTTTAGACTGGTTGATGATATTATGTTGGAGTATATTTGTTGCCAGAATGGACATACCTCCACAGATCTGTTCACTTTTCTTGCTCAGCATGTTTAGAAATTCAAATATGACTTCCCACATACCCACAAAAATAACCCAAATTGTCTGAATACAGGCATAATTGTGTTTATTTGTCCTGAATTTAACTGAATGATTTAATATTACATGAGCAACTAACTCCACATTCATCACACAGTATTTTCATTAAGCTTTGTATTTTGAAATAATTTCAGTATCACAAAAAATGTGAGTAGAGTTCCCCAGTACCAGATCACCACAACCATAAAATTTGCACTATCAAAACTAAGAAATTGGAAATGGTAAAAGGCTATTAAATAAACTCAGCATCTTTCTTGGATAGCACCAGATTTTACATGCTTTCATCATAAAGTTTTAATAAGTTTAAGATGAAAATGTAATATAAAGCCTTCAGTTCTCAGTTTTTCTTGTCCGTTCAGTTTTCTGTAATAGTAGGAGTGGCTTCTTGAAGCATAAGATAGTCATAGGCCACGGATAAAACTATTGCTTGGGCATCCCCTACAAGACCTGTGTGATGGTAGTGAGGGGGAAGGGGGCACTGGGGAGGGGAGAGCATGGAATGTGATATGCCAGTGGGGCATTTGCTTACTTTGCACTTAAGAAAGGATTTTTTCCTTTCAGTATTTGTAGAAGGGTCTACAATTTCAAGTTACAATGATATACTGTCCCTGATATTTTGGAATTTATTATCTTGTCTAGGCAATGCATATAAAACAGTCAAGATGGTGTAATATATGATTAATAAGCTAGTTAGATGTACTCACACATTTCCTAATAATATGGTTTAGAAAAAGAAATGTATTCCAAGTGTTTAGACCATGGAAAATACCTGATTTTTTCCAACAACAGGACTTGATCTTGACTAATGTGTAAGGAAGTACATTTCTGAGTGATGTTGTTTATTTATGCAATTCCTTTGAGGTTACACAGCTTTATTATGACATTAATTTGGTCGATTTATACATCCAGTGAGATGAAACTAGTTCATACGAAGTTACAGCTTTTATCTCAAAAGAACCATTGCCTAATGTTCTAATGGAAATACAGAAATTCCCTTGAGTGTAGAACTTAAAGTTCTACATTTTTTGCTTCCAGCATTAAATTAAACTCTTTCCTTTTTATGTGGCATGCTTCTTTATTTCTTTCTAGTATTTTTGGATAATTAGATTCCTATGAAGATCAGAAGCTCTTCAATTTGTAATAAATAAACACAAACCGCATGGTAAATCTCAGACCTTCTCAAAGAAAAGAATTCATTAATTTCCGTGAAGTTTGGGAAGATGAGCACTTAATTTTTCTCATTTTTTAATAAATTGGTGTTTTTTACAGATTTTTTTGTCATTAAAGTAATGGCAGTGAATTTTAAACTTTGAAGTTAGATGATATTTCATCCTTTCATAATTACTTACCTTGTTCCACAGAACTTTTGACATCTGCATATTTAAGTTCCTTCTCAGTGTTTGTCCTATAAAAACACAAATTTCACAAAAGGAACACAAAGTTTGACTTGTTTAGGAGAACATTGGCACTTTATGCCATTCATAACTTCTGATGCTTTTTAAGTGGTAGGGAAATTCATTTATTTATTCAGTGTCTATGTACACTAGGGGGACAATTGATCCCTGCTGTATGGGATGTCGTGGACAAATGCACAGTGTATCTCACTAGGTCCTATCACAGACACCCACCCTTAGACTAAGGAGGTCATTTTAGCCACTCTCAGGTTTGCTAGTAAAACAAAGTACAACCTAATAAACCATGTTGACATCCACTCAAACTGAGCTCATGAACAGCAGGGATTGCTCAGCTCATGGATTATACCCCCAAAAGTACCAACTTTGTACAGTTTCCAGCATCAAACTCGGTGTAATTATCTGTTTCAATAAACTTTACATAATAACAACCAAGGAAGACAGTACTGACTTGATTTGAAACAAGTCATGCTGTCCAGGCTGACTATTGCTCAATCAAATGCTAGGTAAGGGAGAGCGGAATGGGTGGAAGAATAGAAAAAATAACAGCACAAAAGGCCTGCATTTCCAGGTAGAGATTGAGGAGCTGACCTTAAGGCCCAGTTTTGTTTTTTGTATTTTTTTATACAAAATCTGAGATAAGCTTGATTAAGACAAATACCAAGTTCCCTAAACCTCAAAGAATTTCAAGAGATGCTATAAGAAATAATTTGGAAATGTCATTAATTCTGACATCTAATTGCATTTCAATTTATTTTACACTTTGTAGTCTTGAAGGATTTATAATTTAAGTCTCTTATCTAAGGGAAGAAGGCATAATTTGTTTCAGTTGTCTGTTGTCTCAATTAGCCTCTGGTGATCATTTCATATTTAAAGGATTCATTTTGGGAAGATTTGTTTCTGCCTCCTGAACAAAAGGGCGGGGAAAGTGGGAGTAGCAGAAATTCCCTACAGCTACCTCATCCTTCTGGGAACCACACTGAAAAGATCTGTCATGGATAGGATTACTTGATGGAAACATGTTTTATTTGCTATCTTATTACACAATTAGTAAGTATAGGACTCAAGTGAAAGCATCCACCCATTAGCCCCTCCTGGTTTTTGCTTTGCTTTTCATTCATGGAAATAGTAGGAGAGTTAATGGGTTTTGGAACTATAATCATTAAGAAAAAAAAAAATGATTGTCGTTGTGTCCTTGTTGATTCCAAGAACATTCCATTATTTTTTCAGTACCACTGACACAGGCTTTTCTGTTTTCCATTCAGAGTCCAATTAATTGAGTTTCTTCTTTTAACAATAAGACATTTGAACATATTTATACTTGTAAACCAATAGCTTCATTCTACTAAAACTGATGGATGATTGAAAAGGATGGAAGGTCTCTCTATCTTCTAAGGCTTATTGTGCTATTGGGGAGTTAGGTAAACCAAAATGACATAGAAGCAGCCCTTAAGCAGCAGTTGTTGTCAGCTAAAGAACATGAATTTTGGAACAATTCCCCTACTTATTTGTAATATGACATTAAAAATCTATTTAAAAATCTCTAAGTTCAGTATTTCCATTTGACAACTAATGGGGATAATATCTTCTTTTGGGGGGCTTTATAGTGAAAATCTTATGACCTGATTAGTGAACTCTGCTAAGCACATAGTGTGCCTCATACAAAGTACACATTCAAAAAAATGTTAGCATTCATTTTCTTCTTCATTTTCAGTGTCTCCCTTGTGGCACATCTTAAATATCTTCTGGGTTCAACTACTTCTCTAGAATTGGCTTTTTATTGACTAAACCCAAGGGGAGAGCAAAATTGTTCAGACTTACATAAATGATGTGTTGTGGATTGATTGAAGAAATATGTCCAATGCTTCACTCCTTCCGGGATGCATTCCCTATTTAATGTGAGTTTATAAATCTTTCTATCGAAAGATTGTTCTATTTTCCGACCCTTGATTCTAGCCTGGCCTTGTGACTTAATCTGACCAATAACTGGCATTTGATTGCCATATCCAAGCCAAACCCTCAGGTAATCTATGTGCTTCTGATTTCGCTCTTGTATTCCTGCCATCCTCTGAACATAAGACAAAACTAGCCTACTGGACGATGCAAGACAGATGGCCCAGTTGCCAGTCATGCTAGGATGGGAGCCAGCCAATTAACAGGCATGTCAATGAGCCCAGCAGAAAGCCAGAGCCATTCACTCAAGTCTAGAGTTAGTAGAAATGTTGAGATGACCTGTAGTTGAGATGACACAATTGAATTCATACATGATAAAAGAAGTGCCCAACAGACTCATAGATGTCTGAGCTGAATAAACATTATTGTTTTAAGCCATCAACTTGTGTTTCAGTTCATGATGCTTTTATATAACTGATACCTGAGAATAGGAGTATGATTTCAGGCTGTCCTCTATGATTTCCTACCAATTTGGGTAGGAGTTGGAAAGGCAACCAATTATAGTTATTATCTAAAATAACTACAGATTGTATCAAAATTCTTTTAATTAAAATTCACCAATAAGAGATGTGTTTGGCACAACAAGTTCTTCTGCAGCTGAAAACACTCCCAAAGGAAACTTGAAAAACCTGCAGGCATTGCATGTCTTGAAGCCAATATGTTTCGTGTCACTACATAGATTGCTATTGTATTCATTCATGCATGCGTATATGCATTTATTCACTTATAAAACATTTATAAAAACCTGTTTTCAGTTCTATGATAGTTTTCAAAGATACAAAGTACCATTGCTTCCCTCCAATAGGAAGTTCAGATTCTTCTGGCAGAAAGCCATGAAAAGTGCATAGTACAATGAAAGTGTGAAGTAAATACTACAACCAAAATAAATAGAATGAACTGCCCCCAGAAGAAAGCAGCTATGAAGTGGTTAATAGGGCATTGTTAGGAGTTCCAAAAAATTCTAGTCTAAAAGATAGATGAGAAAGTTTGGAAGACAGAATTTACTACAAAATTAAGGAGATGACTATATTCAGGTTATTGCAATATGGAGGGTTGTCATTAGTGAGGACCATCTCAAAGAAAAAGAATGGAACTGGGGGTTTTATGGAGGCAAGTAAACAAATGAGTCATTCATAAGTTGTATGGGAGTCATGAGGAAAGATGGGAGTGGGTCTTATCTATGAGTTTTATAGGAGTTGTTGAGGAAGAGTGGAGGTGATTCTGATGACCAAATACCTGAGAGCAAAGCAATCCTTCGTGATTAGTCACATGCATAGACAAAAAGTTGGGAGAGATTTCTAGATCTTTCCTGCTTTCTAGGAACACACGGTTTACATAAAAGCTCACATTTCCAAGGGTCATGATGAACGCTGAAGTAAGGATCTTCCAGTGTTTGCATGACTAAGTCATATTGTGTATAGTTTGCCTACTTACAAATCATGTTTCTGAGTGATTTTTAATTTTACTTATTTTCAGTTTAATGTTCACCTGATATTATCTGAAAAGTACATATTGGCAATCCAAAAATAAGTGTCACAAATATGTCTTTTCATCCTATAACATGGTGAATGGCTATCCCTGTGGGTCATGTTGGTAGCTCCCATTGTGGGTCACGGACAAAGTGGAGACAAAGAGAATTTGTTTCTGGTGTCTTCTTTCATGATTATTTTCAAAATCATTTCCACATCACCTTTGCCCCCACTCACTCCCATTTTATTCCTTTAGTCTTTCCTGTCTCCTCCCCATTTCCTTCCTCTTGTTTACTCTCCCCCGTATCAATTTATTTCTTCCTCTTGAATCACACCTCTGTTGAACCTGGGACCACCGGCAGCTCTAAGATGTTACACAAAAAATACAGTTGGACTTTCCTTAAACTGTATGATTTCGTTCTGTCTGAAGCAAGAATTTCCTACAGTGAATCGACAGAACTATAAGAATGAGCACTGGTGTGTGTTTAGTTTCCAATGCCAGAACAGATGAAAGCAGAGCTGGCTGACATGCTGGCAGAAGCTCTGTAGGCGATAAATTGAGGAGCTTGACTAAGATTAATGATATTTATATTGTTTTCTGCAAATTGTGAAAATGTATATTCATATATATACATACATATATATGTAGATAGGTACAGTCCTAACACATAGACATTTCCACTCTCATCTATTTTCACACAGATTTCTTCTCTACTCCGTGTTTCTGATTCTGTCCCTGTGTCTCTCTATTTTGCTCTCATTTTTTAATAGATTTTAATTTTTAGAATAATTTTCTGCCCAGAATGTACACAGATTTCTCATATAATCCCTGCTTCCAAACACACACAGTTTCCTCCATTATACATATCCCCCACCAGAGTGGTACATTTGTTACAATCAATTAACCTACACTGATACATCATTATCACCCAAGTCCACAGTTTACATTAGGGTTTACCTTGGTGTTCTACACTGTGCTGTCAAAATCCAGAAGAGGACAATGTAAAATGCTGGCAAGGATGTGGAGAAATGGGAACTGTCATTCATTGCAGGTGGGAATGCAAATAATACAGACACTTTGGGAGATATTCTTGCCATTTCTTACAAGACTAAACATACTCTTACCATATGGTTCAGCAATCACACTCCTTGGTATTTACCTAAAGGAGTTGAAAACTCATGTCCACACAAAAACCTGCACACAGATGTGTATGGCAGCTGTGTTTATAATTGTCAAAACTTGCAAGCAACTAAGATATCCTTCAGTAGGTGAGTGGATAAATAAACTGTAGCACATCCAGGCAATGGAATATAACTCAGCATTAAAAATAAATAAGCTCTCCAGCCATGAAAATGCATGGAGGAACCTTAAATGCATATTACTAAGTGAAAAAAACCAAACTGAAAAGCCTACGTACTGTGTAATTCCAACTGCATGCCATTCTGGAAAAGGCAAAGTTACAGAGACAGTAAAATGATCAATGGTTGCCATGTGTTGCCATGGATTGAAGGAGGAGTGCATGAATAAGTAAACACGGATTTTTTAGAGCAGTGAAAATACCTT